ATATATATATATATATATATATATATATATATATATATATATATATATATATATATATATATATATATAATAGATGACTATTTGATCATCAATATATTACTTATAAATTAAACATTTTTAGATATAAACATAATTATTCATTATAAGTTATTAATGAAATAATACCTTCCAAGAAAGTCATCCTGGTCAGGATCTTTATCAAACACCTCCAGCTCCAGCTCCTGACCAGGTACTTCATGAACAATCACCTAACAATCACACACATACACACAGAGTCACACACAAATGCACACATGCATAGATATAAAATATGTAACAAACATCAAGTGATTGCTGACTTACAGCAATAATGTAAGTTAAAGATCTTAAACATCTTTAAGATCTGGAATACATAATCTTGCAGTGAACAGATGTTTCTCTGAGCTTGTGCTTTTGCTCTATGCTCATCTGATCTCAGCACATGATAGTCACATACTGCACTACACAATCACACTCTGTGTTTTTCTTGCTGTTACAAGCAGTTACAAGAGTCAAAACACAGTAAACACCTACAAAATGTTAGAAGCTCAAAAAACCACAGCTTCCCCTTCCTCAGAAATGTGACACTTTTTTCAGCAACCACACTGATCACATGCTACCCATACACATCTCTCTCTGACCTCGTACATCTCCCTCCATTGAGGATTAAGGTTGTTGTCGACGTGGTGGGAGGTGAAGGTCTGCGTGCCCACCCGTAGCACTGCATACGGGTCAGACTTCCCAGATATCACGCCTTTCATGTAGTTATCCTTGGCAGCAAGGTTTTCTGCTTCCAGCAAGTGGATACGCACTATACCCTGTGGGAGAACACAAAACAAGTGTAAGTAGAGTGCAAGAGGCGTTGCCTTAAAGGAATCGTTAACCACAAAAACAAAAAAATTAGCTGAACATTTACTCACCCTCAGGCCATCCAAGACGTAGATGAGTTTGTTTTTTCAGAAAAGATTTCGAGAAATTTAGTATAACATCACTTGCTCACCAATGGATCTTCTGAAGTGAATGGGTGCCGTCAGAATGAGAGTATAAAAAGCTGATAAAAACATCACAGTAATCCACAAGTAATCCACATGACTCCAGTCCATCAATTAATGTCTTGTGAAGCAAAAAGCTGCATGTTTGTAAGAAACAAATCCATCATTAAGACGTTTTAACTTTAAACTGTCGCTTCTGGCCAAAATACAATAATAATATGATAATCTGTGCATATTTCTCAGATGAGATTACTATTTCACTGGAGAAAGCAATATTATGCATAGAGGTATTTGAGCCGAAAGCAACAGTTTGAAGTTAAAATCATCTTAATGATGAAGCTTTTTGTTTCACAATACGTTAATTGATGGACTGGAGCCATGTTGATTACTTGGATCATTGGTGAGCAAGTGATGTAATGCTAGATTTCTCCAAATCTGTTTCCATGAAGAAACAAACTTATCTACATTTTGGATGGCCTGAGGATGAGTAAAATATCAGCAAATTTTCATTTCTGGATGAACAATTCCTTAAATTAGCATATGTAATTATGTAAATGACAACAAGCCCTTGCAGTTCAACATTATGAAGCAGCTACACTGTACAAGCATGCATGACGAACTATGGAGTATTAAAGTACATTTGATGGATCTTGAATAGTTAAAAAAAGAAAGTTAACATAGTTAAATACTCCATTAAAGCACAGTGAAGTGTTACCCGTGGGAGAGGGGAACGCAGCTGTGCTACGTGCAGATTGGCCACCAAAGGCACAGTGAGACGATTGGGGAGAACCAGGAAAGAGGCGAGTGCATCCATTATCATAGTGTCCGTCATGGCACTGAAAATGAATGCAAGGGGTTCGTACAGAGAAAATGGGACACAGAACCACAAACTAAAGACATTTAAGCTATTTAAAGCATGGCTTCTGAGTGATTATAATGAGTTAAGCTATGATAAATATGAATGACTGCATGTTTCCCTGCTTTATTTGAATAGAGGGAAGCTCAGCAGACTTTGAATAATCAGACCAGTGCTCTACTGATTATTAATGAATGAAGCACATGAGAAGAGAGAGTTAGAGTATTAACAATTCCAGTGGAGTTGTGGTATATCTGAATCATAAAACCAAAATACAACAATGATACAAAACAAATGCACTCACTTCAAACCAGGTATGTCTAGTAAATTGGTCAAGCCAGTCCAGTTGATGTCGAGTTTCTATGGTGGAGAGAAGTAGAAACAAAGACTGTAGTAAAAAAGAGGGGGTTAACATGATGTGATATAGCAATTAAGATGGAAAATGGTGTACTAACAGGTCTGCGAATGAAGAACATGGTGATGGCTCCAACGAGAGGAACATCTCCAATTAGAGGTTCCAAGATCACCCTCAATCTTCCATGGAGCTATAGAGAGAGAGATACTGGTTTCAGTCAATACGTCTTTTATCTATTATCTTTAATGTGTCATGCTGTCCTCCTCCTTACCTGAACGCCTTTCACTCCAGCTTTACAGAAGTACTTCTTCACCTCAACGTTAATCTCCACATCTCCAGCATAACTGCAACACAGCCCAAAGGTTTTAAATATGGCTGTAAGCCAGGGGTTCTCAACCTTTTTTTTTGGTCAACGACTTAAGACTTGCAATCCCCAAGTAACAGAATTAAGACATACGGTGTGTCCCAATTTGCATATTTATGCACTCTTTTATTCCTTTTTGTAGTATTAATAGTGTGAGTAGTGTGTTCACACACTGAAAATTCCAAAAAGAAAAAGTACTTTTAATACCTGGATGATGCACTTAAAAAAAATAAAATAAAAAATAGTGCATTAATACTAGTGTTTAGAGCTTCATTTGGGATGCAGCTATACACTTTAAGATCACACAGACAAAAAATTATAAAAAAAAATATATATATATAATCTAATATAAATTATGTTTTTATAAATATAATTAAAAATACTTTATAAAAATAAACTATAAATGAGATACAATCACAACTGCCAGGATGTTTGCCCAGAAAGAGACCAATAACACTACCTGATATAAAGATCCAGTATCACCTGACGCTTATCATGCTCAGTGTAGGCCTTCACCCCAACTACCTTCATAGCCTATTAAAAAATAAAATAAACTATAAAGGTTTCTTCAAACTTAGTCAGTGGCCTACATTTTCAAGAAATAGCTCTGATAAGTAGAAACTGAGAATCAAATTTAAATATGAGAAACATGTGCAAATAACACAGTCTTTTATCAGAAATAGATTTGTATACCCTGTCGCCCAAGTCAACTTTGGTGAAGCTGAGAGTTTGCAGGTGAGCGCTGGCGGCTCGGATCGAAGGGGCAATAGTCTCCACCAGCAGCTTCTCTAGATACTGTCCAATAAACGGCCAGGCCTGCTGCAATATCTGTGAGCCGGGACAGTTATAAACAATAAGAAATGGTAGAAACTCATGAAGATGACAAAATCAAGTCAATGAAGAGATTATTGCGTCAGAGCATAAAATGTAAATATTTAATTGGATAAAATGTACTCCTTGAGATGCACAAAAATTAGAGCATTATGTTTTTAAATGAATGCATGCAAAATGAGTCCAATTTGTCAGTCAAACCTCAGACGGAAACCACAAGCACTGGGAGGAAAGCCCTACAAAGCACTTTTTTCTTCACCGGACTGCTGTATTCAATAACCTCATAAAATCCTTTTTAGATTGAGCAAAAATAAAAATACTGATAGATTTTCTATACATTGGTGCAACAACTTAAATCTGTCCTTTTTAGTTTCACACCAAAAACATGATTAAATACAGTTACAAAACCAGCATCATAACATATTCGCTTACAAGGTGTTTGCAAATGTCATCAGTTCAAGTAATGTGTGTGTTTGTAGTGAGCTTTGAAAACACATCCCACAATCCACCCTCCCTGTTCTCACTGTCTAAACTCAAAAGCACTAACCTTTAAAGGCAAACCTTTGAAGCCTGAACGTTAACAAGTCTAGTGTGCAAGAAGACTCAAGAATAATCTGTGAAACGTCTGGCCTGGTACTCTGAGAAACTCTGAGAAGCGAATGAAAGAATCCGGAAGATCATGTGGCAGTGAGTCTGAAGACTTTCACAAGGCAATTTTCTTCCTGATAAGCTCTCAAAGTCTGTGTGGATTGTGTGGCTGTGTAAAAGTCTGCCAAATACACTTTTTGTAAATTTTTTACATATTTTACAAGGTTTTGCAAAGTAGTCTGTGGGTCCTTTATCCCAAAATAAGGTCTGTTACGCCAATGGCATCAGAAACACCACTAAAGTTAGTAAACATTATGCAAAAGACTGGAGCGCTGCCAAACCATTCAACTATTTATCTTCAGGGACTGAATTTGAAAACAAACATGCTGTGCCCTCAGGAACATGAAGCAGAAACAATGAGAACAGCAGCTACGGTCACGTGTGCATTTGTGTATTTGAATAAAGACTTCCAATACCTTGTTCATCCACTCAACCTTTTCCACATCAGGAAAGTTCACCTGTGGAAAAACAAAAGAGTACACTTTGACTTCCGATGTAAACACATCGGTTTTACATGCAGTATGCAAGGAGACCTCTTATTTTGTACACTAAGTAAATACTGTGAAGGTCATGAGCTGTTGTTAGCAAAACAGCAGCGTTTTCCAGGGAAGAGATCCGCTGTGCAGCCATAGGAATATACAGGTCTGCCAATTCTTGAAAATACCGTCATTCTTGCGCAAGAATACTTGTAAATGTTTAAAGGGGTCATATGATGTTGCTAAAAAGAACATTATTTGGTGTATTTGGTGTAATGAAATGTGTTTATGCAGTTTAAGGTTAAAAAAACACATTATTTTCCACATACTGTACATTTTGGGGAAGTCATGGCCTAATGGTTAGTGAGTCAGACTCATAACCCAAAGGTTGTGGGTTCGAGTCTCATACCGGCAGGGATTGTAGGTGGGGGGAGTGAATGTACAGCGCTCTCTCTCCCACCTTCAATACCACGACTTGAGCAAGGCACCGAACCCCAAAACTGCTCCCCGGGCGCCGCAGCATAAATGGCTGCCCACTGCTCCGGGTGTGTGTTCACGGTGTGTGTGTGTTCACTGCTGTGTGTGTGCACTTTGGATGGGTAAATGCAGAGCACTAATTCCGAGTATGGGTCACCATACTTGGCCACATGTCACTGATTTCTAGTCATGTCCTCTTTTGGAAGGCCAAATAAAGTAGTTTCGCTTTCACAAGGAAACAGCGTCACACACCGTGGCCCTGAGTGAACGGAGGCCGGAGGCCTTGAGTGAGCGGCGGCCTATAGTATGCAGAGGCCGGCTAGAGTGAGCAGAGGCCGGCTTGAGTGAGCAGAGGCGGGCGGGCTTGAGAACACTACATGGCGGCGGCAGCAACAACAATACTACAGCGAGAATAAAAGTTACACCTTCTTTCTTTGCGTGAACATTTGTGCGGCGTTATGCAAATCTTCCCACATCGTGACGTAGACATGTTGGGGTGTGTTAGAACGAGCCGTTTTAGGTAGGCGTGGTTGACTCTGAACTTTTATAAAGAATATCTCTTTGGATTTGAAACTTTAGTCTTTGCAACTTTACAGATCTTCTTTATGCACCAAGAGCTTGTAACACTCCAAAGAGAAAGGAAAAATTTTAATCGCATCAGATGACCCCTTTAAGAAAACGTATATGGCAATAATAGATCGTGATTGTTGAAAGAAAGAATCATAAGAGAACATGACTACAAACAAAAATTCAATGGCAAAGGAAGCTTGATTAAAGGTCAGTTCTGATTTCAGTATAGATGTTTAACTCTAAATACATAAATAAATAATACATTAAGAATTAAATTACAAATAATAAAGGTAAAAAATTACAAGGTAAAAATACAATAAAATAATAATAAAAATATAATAATACTTGATCCTCTACATAAGTGATTCCCCACTAAAGTTTTCAACTTTAAACACATAATTTGTAACAGGAGGATGTAGGTAGGTTTATACAAAACACACCAGTTAAATAACGTCACTATGTACAAGCTACTGGGGTATGAGAGGAAAATGGCACAACAGTTTGTCTGACCACAGGTCATACTTTTTCAACTTCTTAAAGTTTTCCCATCACCCCCTCACCAAATTATTGCTGCAAATGGCTCATTTTGCCATTTAGCTGCTGGTGACTCAGTCCCATGAGATTGGATACTTCAATGTCCAAATATAGCAAGGGCTGGACTGACTTTGGAATGTAATGAAGTGAATGAGTGACGGGGGATGAAAGGAGGGAAGAGAGGAGAATATAAATATGAACTCTTGTCAGGGAGTGTGCAGGATGCTTATGAAAGGGAAAAAACTGTAAACTTTGATTAGTAGAGGTGGCTGAAAGAAGCTCTCTTTTTGATGATGTTGCAATACAGGGGCATGATCGTGCATTCTGACTACAGATAACGTTGTAATATAGTTGTAAATATAGCACCAAAACTACGAGTTCACTTTTAACAAAATGAAAGAAAAGAAACCTTCTGTATGTAAAATCAATTATAATTACAGGAGTGAAGCACACTTATCCCACTAGTTACAAATGCTATGAACTGGAATATATATTAATAGTACCAAATAAACAATTACCAGTATCTATTCAACTATTGCTACGAAAACTGATTTGGTACCAGCAACTATCTGAATATAACCAACTAACCAAGTACTGAAAGTCAGTTACTAGTAAAACTGAAATACTACGCAGAATTGAATAGTTGATATCTGAACTAAAGTCCCCATAAAATTCAATAGAAAAAGCTACTAGTTACCAATAACAAAATTAATATTTAATTGTTATTGGGATTAGTGACTAGTAGCAGGTATAGGTACTAGTTTGTAATGAATACATTTCAGTAAACTTAAATCTTCTTGGAATGCATACTAGTCAGTAGTCAGAAGTAAAAAGTTGTTATCTGAACCACAGACCCCAGAAAATACAATGGTAAATGCCATTTGTAACCAGTCACAAATTAAATATTTACTTGTTATTGGGGTAGTAGTGACTAGCAGTTCTGGGTACTTTGTAATGAATGCACATTAGTCAGCAGTCAGAAGTGAATTGATTATCTGAACTACAGATCTCCATAAAATTCAATAGTAAATGCAATTGGCTACCAGTTACAAATGGAATTTTACTTGTTAATGGAATAGTGACTAGAATACGTACTACCACGTAATTAATATGTTTTAGTGTCTAATGTAATATATAATTTTCACTTTTGGAATAAGTACTAGTATAATAAAGGTCAATCGTGACACGGATAGTGGTCACTACTGGATTAGGCTACTTACTAGTAATTACAAAAAATAAGTAGGCTAGTAGTAACAAAAACAGATGTTATTTTAAAGGAATATAGAACACTGAGTGGGTAATTATGAATAAATAACTAAATATCCGCAGGTTGAAGTATAAACAGGATTGTTTAATAGCTAGGCTACTAACAGGTTGCACTGTAAGAGGTGAACAAATGTTTAAAATCATATCAGTAAATAACTACAACATGAAATCAAGCTGTCATTGCCAAGATACCACCTAAATATAGACTCTTTACGCGTATTGTAGACAAAAACAACAGCGAAAATCGCTATAAAAAATCCTGACTGTCTCTAAGATCTCAAGATTTCACGTGTTGAATGACTGCGGTGCTGAACTGTTGACAGATCTGAATGATGCCATTCATGGTATAAAGTCCCTTACCCATGCCGGTAATTCCCGTTTACTTCTAAACACCCGTGTAGTGGTGACATCCTGCTCATTCTCCAACAAATACATCGCGCTTTGCAGTCGCGCTTGTTTTCCATCGCGACTGTGTTTCCATCTCATATAAACCAGGAGACCAAGCAAAACTACACTGATACTGAATCCGAAATATCCAGCCAGGTAGACCGGCAGTAAGGCGCCGAGGCACTTTCCAAATGACCAGAGAACAGACACGGCGTGTTTTCCAGCGGAGTCTTGCGGCAGGGCCGAGTCCGCAGCCTCCGGAGCGGCACCCGCGCTCGGCCCCGCATCAGCAGATGACTTCGGCTCTTTCTGCATCAGATCCTGTCTTCTGTGAGAGGTTCCGCACTAAACACTATAAATCCACTCAATACCGCTCAACACGAATATGTGCTGTACACGTACGATTAAATAAGAACATAAAATGACTCATTCTTCTTCCACTCTACGAAACATAACACCGACGTCCGCTCCTTTGCAGCGGAAAGTTGTGGACATCTAGTTTGTTTATAAGATGGGCGTGTAGGGGCGTGTTTTGAAGGCTTCAGACCTCCTAGATTCTTGTTAAAACCAAACCGAGAACCAATGTCTGGGTGTGGGATCATGCATATTTTTATGGTCTTTTTGAAGAACTCGTCCATCATTTACCAGCCACTTAAACCCCGTTATATGTTATGCTGTCAGCAACAGAAAAGGTTGAAGGCGAAAACATGGATTTTAAAGTTTTTAAGATACTGTACATTAAAATATTATCTATATATATACATATAAAAGCCTCCAGCACACATTTAACGGGTGTTTACATACTGTCATGTGACTACCAATGCGGTGCACGTTACACGCAAAAAAACTAATGGTGCAGAAAACGCATTTTGTTTACTGACGGGTAAGCTAATGCCAATGAACATTTGTCCATTAACTCCGACTAGATGGACTACTGACAAACCTGCATTTGTCAAACCACTAAAGGCAAACTAGTCATCACTTAGCAACCGGCTCAGCTGAGGGTGTTGCTGCTCAGATTAAAGGCCAGTTGTAGAAACATAGATCCTGCGTTAAGATGGTGTCTTGACTAGTTTGACCAACTAGCGGCTAGCCAAGAGATAAGTCACTCTTCTGATTAAAATAGGACCAATGTACATTTTTGTAACTGACCAATCTAGAAGAAAACAACTTACATGGCTAACTTTTTACAACTAGTCTAAGCAGTTTATGCAACCAGCCCAAAATGTGTCTTGTTTATGCGCTGGTCTGATAAAGCGGAGTAAATGCTGCGTTGATTTTATCGCACATGGAACAAACTCCAAGCCCCCAATACAGCTACCACCCCCCTGTGGTCACATTACTAAAAGTACTTATATGAAAATATTAGGGATGCACGATATATCGGCCACCATATCGGTATCGGCCCATATCGGCTCATTTTTTCTGTTATCGGTATCGGCCTGATAAGAAAATTTGGCCGATATCTTAAAGCCGATAAATAATGCATTATTTCCTTCAGAGACACTTCAGATGCGCGCTGTTCGTTTGCAGCCTTTTGTGCAATTGTACATTGTAATATTGTGTTTATTTGATGTATATCTGATTTATCTCATATAGAAAGCGTTTGGTTAAGTTAAAAGAGCACTTCAGTTTACCGGTGATCGTCTTTAGCTCAGCGCACGCAGCTCAAACAGCAGTGCACAACATTAATAACTATGATTGGGAATGTCGTGTATATAACATTCTAATGAGAACATTATAATAAAACGTTGTGAATTCTTTGGGTTTAGTTGCTGTGTTTCAGCGCGTTGATATGGGAAGAGCGCATCCATAACAGGATCACACATTCTGACTATAGCATGCAATAACTGCGTCATTTTGTACATATATAAGTTGTAATATTATGTTTATGTTGTATTAATATTAATCTCAGGATGCATTTCCTTGAGTTAAATAAGCTGCCAGCAAAACGCTTCAGTTTACCGTGTTCATTCAGCTCTTCAGCTTCAGCACGTGCAGCTCAACGGCTGCTATTTAAAACAGTGGTATTAATTTGTTACTTTTTCAAAATCATTGATATATTAATAACTTGTATTTTTCTCTTATTTTCATCAACAATATGGTTTAGTAATTAAAATCATTTAATTATTGTCCGTGCAGAGGCTATTCCGTTTTATTGATCTATGGCGCATTCATTTTGATTCTTTACACGTGTAATGATGTCCAGTGACTTGTTTGCATTATTTATGCATAATTTTATTTATTTGTAAGACTTTATGACTAAATTTGGTAATGGGAGAGTAAAAATATTTTTAAAACGTACACCGTTCAAACTAGGCTGCTTATGTTGAAGTGTTTGGGATGTGGCTTTTAATGATGAGACCTTTTTTGTAATCAGGCTCTCAAAAAGTATATAACAATTTGGATATAGATTTATCGGCCAACATATCGGTTATCGGCTTTCAAAAATAAAGAATCGGTTATCGGTATCGGCCAAAATTTTCATATCGGTGCATCCCTAGAAAATATAATACTAAACTCAATTTTCAGGTTAATAGCTGCGGTCCATAGTTAGTCTCCGCAGTTAACTTAACTCGTGTTGTATTTACTGGGCATGCGTTCCTCTCTCAGATCATGCAGCAGACACTAAAGACACGGCAGGGAACTACAATTCCAGCCAAGTTTCATGGCATACTTATAAAATATCAGCCTAGAAGTAATGCAGCGGATTTAAAAATCTAAAATAAGATGTTATAAAGACCAAGCATTGCATAATCATTTCAAGACCAAGTTTCAATGGGAAAGTAGCAAGGGAAAAAGGGAGCATGCACAAATATACAAGAGCAGCAATGGCACAGATGTATTGTACAGGCCAAAAATATCACTCCTGCAAATACCTTAGTGTGATCTTAACTCATACAGCATGAACAAAACCCAGTTACCTCATACAAAAGAATACATTAGGCAAAAGGATTATTAAACCAAAAAGATTTATTGAACACATTAACAAAAACTTGCTGAGCTGACAGGTCTGAGGAAAGTCCAAAACAGTTCACATGGTCATCAAGACCAGGATGCTTCTACAGAACCAGGCGATGGAAAACCAAATCCTCATTCAGAAGAAAGCAGGCCTCATAGATGGTGGATGAGTGGAGCTTCAGTTGGGCTTCCAGCAGACTCTTGCTGAGGAGATTGAAGTGGAGGAGCACTCTCAGCTTCAGCGAAAAGGGTCCAGTTTACTTTGACCTCTGCCTCATCTTTCTCCTTTTACGCTTCAGCCTAAAACACATGGGTTCAGTCACTTCATGCCCATTGCAAAACAAAAGAACGCAAGATGCAGCTCCTGTGTTCACAAACTTACCTGCGCATACGCTTCTTTCGCCACTGCAAGAAGAGTACAGCCATTAATAAAGGAGAATTGATTAAGCAGTTTAAAGAAACATTGCAACTCACTACACATGCGCAACGAGCGCCACTGGCTAGATTTTCACTATGCAACATGGCCGTTCGGACGAAATTGTTTAAAGAAACGATGAATACTTAACACTTTTCTAATGATAATAATCCACCATGTTATCAATGTCATTAAATTAACAAAAACACCATAAACAACCTGCAGCAACAGCAAACTCGACGTGGTTACAATATTCCCTGCGACAAAGTGCGTTAGCGGGCTAGCACGGTAGGCCCGAATATATAACACTACAAAATACAACACAATCTCTGCAAGTGATTTAACAGTTAAAAGTACACAACAAATACAAACAAACCACTGCAGGTTAATATAATAAATACTGTATTAGCCACCGAGATGCTATCAAGACCAGCCAGATAACGAGAAACTATTCATCATGTATATGAAAAGTACTTACCTTCGCTCTCATGATGAGAAGATGGTTCTGTAAATAAACAAATACTGTTAGAACTGTCGATGGATGGCGCGTGAATGTCTTGGATTACTATGGATTGTATGAGACGTTAACACGCTTCCTCACCTCGCCAAGCGATAGCAACGACTCCAAGAGGACGTCATGCGCGAGACGGGCTCTTTTATACGTCTCGCTTGCGTCATTTTCCAGCGACTATCAAAAGAAACGCGTGCTACATCTGTCAATAATTTTCCATTTTCATCACATTTATACAGCGGTCAAGATTTCACAGTGTACACAGTGTACTTTGACTGATTTTTTGCAAATATTTATGTGACGCACAAGCGGTGTTATGAGAGAAGGTCTGAAATAAAAAGTACAATTAAATTTTTAATTTTATTTAGTCAATTATTTTTGTAATATAGGCATATTAGTAATTATATACTATTATTAGTTATATATCAAATTAGAATTAATCAAATGGTTTCGTTTAAAATGGGTTTTGATTTACCATCTCCTTTATTTTATTGGATTTGATGGACGACACACTGTGTATTGTATAACAGAAAAAAATATGCTAAATATATTCAAAACAAATAATTGTGCCATTTTCATTGTCTAATTCAACTGACAAATATGACTCCTTAATAAAAAAGGTATTATTAAGAAACTGTGCACATTTTTTACCATGTGTAAATATTCGTTTTAACATAAAAAGTGTATAAATGTAAGAAGTTTCACAGGCATTTGGCGAACAGAAATGGAATAGAGTCCCTGCATCTTGCAGGAATCTTGGCACCATAGACTGTAAAACCAGCTGCTTCTCATCCTCATGACCTGCACCAGATTAGCCTATTCTTTCTGTGAGAGGTTTCTTCAGTCTTTCACCAAGACGCTTGAAAGTTCTTGAGCTTGTCTGGTGGGGCATATTGTTACAGGTGGTTTGCTGGTCGCTGCAAGGATGATCAGCTGTCCCGTCTGTCTGTCTCTCTGTAGCGCTCTCTAATGCCACAGTGCTGTTTATTGCTCTGGTCACATCTGCAGTCCTCGTGCCTCCCTGCAGCAGGACTATGGCATGTTCTCACAGGTGAGCAGGAACCCTGGGCATCTTTCTTCTTTTATTTTTCAGAGTCTGTAGAAAGGTCTCTTTAATTTACCAAGTTATTATAACTCTGACCTTAATTGCCTGCTGCCTGTAAACCAGAAGCGTTCTAACTGTTCCACAGGTGCAAGTGCAATAACTGTTTATTGAACAAGTATGAAAAATATTGCTTAAACCCTTTCCAGTAAAGATCTACTAAGCTTATTTGGATTTTACAAAATTATTTCAAATACACGTTTCTCTTTTTTGGGTTTACCAAAACTGTGGACCTACAACAATTTACCTGCAACACATTCAGCAAAGGCTTTTCCATGTTGATGCACAATGAGCCCAAGAAGTATTTGCACACTTGGGCCACTCTTAAAAAGGTATAAATGTTGCACAAGCACACTCTTTAAGCAAAACATTTCACAAAAAGAAATCAGGCTTATAGCTAAAAATTAAGTATATCGAAGCTGTCAAAACTTTATTTACGTCCATAGCTAATGTGAACTAAATTTGTGGATACTCTACTAGGACACCTCTACTAGACAGCAAATGACTCAACGATCC